CCGAAAAGATATCAACTAAAAAGAGAGGCAAAGCAAAAACACCACGCAGACAAAAGACACAATCTGCGAACACTGCTATAGTACCGCGACGAAATAACGCTTACGTGACAAGGGATTAGTAAGGATTAGCACACCCCCAGTGTCATTCTTTGATTTATAGAAATCTACTTTTCCCTGTATACACCTATTTGAAGAAACTTTGTTGGGTCCAAAAAGGTCAAATCATAGAAGCTAAGACCGAAAGGGTACTTGGGAAGACAAACAATTTGGCTAATTTCACACAAACAGCTCTCCAGCATAAAAGACTAGCATGCTGTTAATCTTACTAGCTCTAGCTACTTGATTTACGGTCCACTTATACACCTTATATGCAAATGTAAACCCAAGTTTAGTGGTACTCAAAATCCCTTTCGGTCTTCTATGATGTGACCTTTTCGAACACGACTACGTATCTCTCCAAGGATAGCCTTTTTTAAATGTTTTTCTTAGCTACAATAAAGTTTAGGCCTTAATCAAGGGTTTTCTAGAAGAAGAGAAATCGTTGATTTTACGRCACGAAGGTGAACGGTAACCTTAAACCCGTAGAGACTCAGCGTATTTTGAATATTCGTTAATGGCCTTAATGCATTTATTGACTTTGTACATCAGAATTTCTTACTTTACTGACTTAATAAATAATTTCAAGCAAGAATCTAACGTTATATATCGAGATAAAACGTGGATTCGCATTATCAAGTGATTTAAAAACGAAAAATCGATGTCATTTATTCGATCTTACCTTATCCTTCWGTCAGAATCAGCGTCGCGCTCAGACTGCATTGTAGRTGATTGGCTGATTCATCAACCCATGACGTCAACATAGAACAATATGCAAGTTTATGAAGGCATGAAATATCAAGCATACTTTTAACATATGATCGTTCTCTTCATAGTCATTTATCTGTCCTGTGTACATTGTAGAAAATGCATTTGTTAAGAGAGATCATGATATTTTTGAAGTATTTTTCAATTGAACATAGTTTTCATTAATGTGTTGGAACATGATTTGTGTGTAAATTTGCATTTTGCGTTTATGTTGATATTAAGATTTGAATGTAGTCAACTGAAGCATGTATTTCATTTCTTCAGGCTGGGTTATGACAATCTCTACTCCAGGGGAGTGGGGTTGGGATTCTTTTTTATGCATGGAGAACACTGGATTCGGTTTAATTAAATACGATTTTTTGGTCCACAAAAAATGCGACAGTAGTTGAAAAATTATCTCCTAATT